TCTCAGGCTCGATTCCTCCCTGGTCCACCCCCCCCCCCCCCGGGCAGTGGCTCAGTGTTCAGCAGTCTCGGTTTGCCCGTTTTGGGACTTGGTGCTACGAACTTTTACATGTTCCTCCGATTCAGCTTGTTCATTTGAGACCTCAGTCTTCTCAGTAAACCACCTCGCAAGAATCTTTGCACACGCAGCATGCAGAACCCAGAGGTGCTTTAAGACAGCTTCTGACGCCTCTCGTTGTTTTCATTTTTCAAGGTTTGCCAGGCCACCATGTGCGTTTGCATGTCGCATCCTACGACTCTTGCCGGGCCTCTCGTTGTACACAAGCTACCCATGAATCCACTCTGTCACCGACCCATCTCATGCAACAACTGCTAGCTTTCGTTCACCCGTTCCTCAAGTTGAGAAGCCCGGGAAGGGTTTTGCACTTGTTTTTTCTTTCTTTTGGCAAGTTTTGAGCTTCAGAAGCACATCCTGGGTCAACCTTCCCCGGGGCATTGAGATACATTCGCGAAACGGCGCGTCAGGAGACGCTGAAGGCGGCCATGTCAAGAGCCAGAGACCTGCTGGGGCACGCGCCCCCAGCCAATGGGAGGAAGAGACGATTTGGGCAAGCCTTCGCAATCCACTGGGCTGCGTTTGGACGGCCCAAACATATTGCAAGTGAACAAGGAATTCGTTCCTGGTTTTGTGGGACAGTATCTTTGGTTTACTTTGGCTCTATTTCCCAACGGCAGGCAGCCCCAGCGAGTGACTGGTCCCAGCACAGGCGTTGCAGTAGTCATTTTCGTTGTGGGTGCCAACAGAACCCCCAAAAAACGGGCCAACATGACATGCGTGTTTTCGTGCCAAGGCTTTGTAGTCTCTGCATTGTTCCAGTTCCATGCTCCTTGCTCGGTGCACGCGACCAGTTCCTAGCCAGGCTTCGGGAAGAGTCAGTGAGTCTGCCGAGGCTTTCCAGGGCCTGCCACGTTCACATGGGTTCCCATTGAAACAGCAGTAATTAGTCAGAGAATAGGCACTCACCTGATGTGGAGCTAGACGCATCAAACATCTCACATGCCCAGAGCCAATCGCCAGCTTGACCTTTTCTACTTTTGTCGACCGCCTGAGTGTTAGGGCTTTCAGTCAAACACACGCACAAAGACACACACACACACACACACACACTGCGCGCGCAGACGCACACACACACACAACACACAACACACACACACACACGCCACACACACACACACATGCACACAGATACAGACACTGACACAGACGCAGCCACAGAGAACACAGACACACAGACACACAAAGCGACACCGACGCGCACAGACACAGACACAGACACACACAGACACGAACACACAGACACGAACACACAGACACAGACACACACACAGACACAAAGCCCACACAACCACAACCACAGCCACTCACAAACACAAACGCAAGCACAAGCACTACCACAAACACAAACACAACCACAAACACAGACAACACAAACACACGCTCGCATAAACACACATACAAGCATACAAACAAAAAACAAACAAACAAACAAACAAACAAGCAAACAAACAAACAAACAAACAAACAGAACACAGTCTAACAAAGATCGATCCAGTACTAGCTAGATTGATTGAACGTACATACCTAGCTACCTACCTATCCACCTGCGTACGTATACATACATACATACATACATGCATACATACATACATACACACATACATACATACATACATACATACATACATACATACATACATACATACATACATATTACATAAACATACACACATGCACACATCCACACATACACACATGCAAACAAACATACATTCACACATACATGCATACATACATACAAACATGCATACACACACATACCTACCTACACACATACATACATACATACATGCATGCATGCATGCATGCATGCATGCATGCATGCATACATACGTACGTACGTACGCACGCACGCACGCACATACACACATGTGCAAGGGTCAAAACACGTTATGTAGAGGTCTTCATTGCGGCCGCCGTGACTTATAACTGTTTTTTGAAAAACATGTGTGTAGCGACAGGGGGCCTTGAGTAGCGACACCCCTGTTTAGGGCTTGCATGTATGTAAGTCCTCATGGAACATGTTTGTAAGTACCTTTTGTACGTGCTGAACACATCGTGGAAGTCTAAGTCCCGGCTGCGACGCAAGACAGGTTTGAAGGATCTCGTCTTGGCAGTTTGAGCGTTCCAGTTTAAGAGGTGCTCCGTCGCCTTGGCGGGAACCGGCGACGATGCAAGCAAAAAAGAGGCACTGTGCTTTTGAAGTAGGGTTCCGGCAGCCCCTCGGAAAAAATCCGGCACCCGTAGCGACACCCAAAGCGACACCTTTCAGATTATGGAGCGACACCCAAAATCCCTTCAGGTAGGCAGTTGCCCCTTCGCGTACTACACGTGTACTACAAAGTTGCGATTTTCGAGCTGGGGCTGCAGACGTGTACTTCGCGTGCTACACTTGTACTACAAAGCTGCGATTTTCAAGCTGGGGCTGCGGACCCGTGTGTCGAGCAAGCACTACCATCTCTTCCGCAGTAGCCCATGGGGAAAAGGCATGAAAGGAAGGAGGTTGAGGCAAGCCTCATGTACTACTTTGGTGCGGAAAAGCTGAGACTTTCCAGCCGAGATGCGAGAAATGAGCTGGCACTGTGTGTAGCGACAGGGGGCCTTGAAGAGCGACACCCCAGCCAGCCATGACAGCCAACCACAACACATGTTTTGACCGCCGCACACATAGACACATACATAGACACATACATACACACATACACATACATACATACATACATACATACATGCATACACACATACATACATCCATACATACATACATACATACATGCATACTAACCAACCAACCAGCCAACCACCTCACTCCCTCGCTCACTCACTCACTCACTAACTAATTTAACTAACTAGCTAACTAACTAACTATCACATACATACATACCCACCCTACCTGCCTGCCTACCTACCTACCTACCTACCTACCTACCTACCTACCTACATACACAAATACATGCATACATGCATTCCTACATGCATACATGCATACATACATTACGGACTACCAGGCTTACACACACACACAAACACAATCGCAAACACACTTGCACATGTACACACACACAGGTTTTGCTGGGCAACACGTGCTGTAGCAACCTCGGTTGGTCGGACACCGTCCCGCTGATGGATGTTTCTTTCAGGGGATCCTTGCCAGATTCGAAGTTGCAGACACAAAACGATACCCCCAAAACCTGAAAGCAACACTTAAAAATGTGACACGGGACATCCTAACGTCGCAATCAACACACACCAGACAAGAAGATTTTGACGCTGGCTCATGTACACATATATATATATATATATATGGGTTTGTCTGTTTTTGGTGTGTTGAGTTGCTTCGAAAGGCAGAAGGTGGGACCTCCCCGAATCATACCCCCGAATCATACCCCCGAATCATGCCCCGAATCATACCCCCGAATCATACCTGTTCACTGACTGCCTCCACAACAACCACCACCAGCGCTACCCAATACTGCCACTACGACTACTACTACTGCTACTACCACTACTACTACTACAACTACTACTACTACTACTCCAGTTACTACTACTACTGCTACTACCACTACTACTACTACTACTACTGCTACTCCCGCGACTATGAGTATTACTACCACTACCACCGCAACTACCGCTGCAACTACTCTACTGCTTCTACTTCTGCTTCTGCTACCCTTACTACTAACTATTACTACTACTACTACTACTACTACTACTACTACTACTACTACTACTACTACTACTACTACTACTACTACTACTACTACTACTACATACATCATTCTGAGTCTGTAATCAGTGCCGTTTTGCACCTAGCCGAATCATACCCGCGAATCATTCCCGAATCATACCCGGACAATGAGCTTCCCTTGTCAAGGCAAGTGACAAATCTTTTTCAAAGCGTCCGCACCACTACAGCCGCTGCTGCTTATGCTACAGCTGGTACTACTACTTCTGCAACTGCTACTACTACCACTACTACTGCTACTACTACCACCAACAACAGCTACTGAGTTTGTAACCAGTGCCGTTTTGCACCTAGCCGAATCATACCCGCGAATGATACCCGAATCATACCCGCGCAATGAACTTGCCTTGCCAAGGCCAGCGCCAAGTCTTGTCAAAGCTTCCGCGCCACCACAGTCGCTGCTTCTACTGTTACTACTACTACTAGTACTACTACTACTACTGCTACTACAATACTGCTACTACTACTACTACTACTACTCCTACTACGACTACTACTAACTACTACTACTACTACTGCTACTACTACTACTACTACTACTACTGATACTGCTACTACTACTACTACTACTAGTACTATTGTTACTACTACAATATTACTACTAGTACTACTACTTCGACGACTACTGCTACTACGACTGCTGCTGCTGCTGCTGCTGCTGCTTCTTCCGCGAATCATACCCCCGAATCATACCCCGAATCATGGCCGCGAATCATACCTGCGAATCATACCCCGTACTCAAACCTTCCTGCCCGGCCCCCGCAAGAAAATACAAACCCATATATATATATATATACGTTTATTTGTTGTTGTTTTCTTTAATATGTACAGATCTTATAGGGCGGGCCAGGAGATGCTGTAGGGCGGGCCAGGAAGTGCCCCGGCAAAACGTAGCAAAGGACAACATGATCGCGGACCCTGCTTTTGAAAGGACGCCTGCTATTTTCCGGGGGGCAGTTTTCCTAGCAGCTCGCACAAAGGAGGACTTCATGCTCTTTTCCCCGGTGGTGTTGGAACACCCTGTAGCTGAAGCCAGCCGTTCGTGAGCCACCTATGTGCCAAACTGGGCATTTGAGGTGGTCATTATGGATGAGGCAAGGTCAGTGCGGTATGCCTCTGGGGTTTTTGCCTGCGCCCTTCGCCTGCCGATGCCCTGAGCCGGCCCAGGACGTGCGCCAGCCTGGAGGATGTGAAGACGTCGCTGGCGGCCTTGGAGGAATGGGGTGGCTGGGTGCTAAAGAGCCAAAAAATAGTAGCTGTCCCAAAAGGAAACCAACAGGGGATGGTGTTTTGGCATTTCCGCTGTGCAACGAACAAAGCTTGTTTGCAAACATGCCATGCAGCCCCTCCTCATTCAGTGCGGCCTGAAAGGGGGTGGTTTTGTAGTGCGAACTGCGGGGGTTGCAACCTTGGAACCCCGGAAGTATTCAGACTTGACGGGGTTCGACTTTTTTGGGTTCCCATGTTGCTTGCTTTTTAGTTGGCAATCTGGGGATGGCCCTTTATCAGCAGCTTATGGTTGTTGAAAGCAGCTGTTCAGGAAGGTTCATTCACAAATTCCCCATCGTCTAAACTCAAATCATTCCCCTAGCGGAAAGATATCGTTACCCCATCCAAGAAAGGCGGCAAGCAAGCTATGGTTGCACTCGTGTCCATGTGAAAGCATGACATGCTCAAAGACCTAACTCATACAGGAATGTTGTTTTTGGGGGGAGCCCATGTTCAGGTTCCGTTAGCTTGCCGAGGAAGCTACCGTTCAAAGGTTCTGTTCGTTAGCGGGCTTGCGAGTCAGTAAGCTGGCCAGGCCTGGCTTCCGTGGTTTCTAGAGTCAGACAATCAAGGGTTGCTTAAGGAACAGCTGGAGACCTTCCCATACTCCTTTGATTTTGCCACATTCGAACAACGGCTTTTGTCGTAACGTTTGACGAGTCCCGGAAAATGCAAATCCTCCACGTGCCCGGGCGCTTTGTCGGCCAAGTGAGCGCAGCCTATCCAACAATGCCTCTGACTTGGTTACGATACTGCGGATGCACGAAATCCACTTCGCAGCACTTTGAACCCATGGGAAACCATAACTCTTGTGGCTATTTGCAGGGGAATCATCATTCCAGGGTTTGAAAGGTGGGTCCTAAGAGGATTTCGTCCATCCACAGTGTGTCTTTGTTGCGGTCGCCCCATGTTCCCCTGAACTTCGTGGTGCTTGTGTTTCCGATTGAAAAGCCAGTCGGATCAGGGGCCTTCCCAGAAATCTGAAAGGTGATCCGGATTTTGTTTTTTTCTTACCACCAGGGTTTCATTGATCCCGACAGAAGCCATTGTGGAGGTAATTTTGGAGCCGTTCTCTTCGTCAGGAGGCATCTCTTTGGGTCTTAGATCCTGGCACATCTTCCAGGCAACCGCAGGAGTGGTCGGGCGGGCCGTCCCTTGACTCCGCAGTGCCGTCCGCGGCTTCGCCTCTACACATGGTCAGCCCCAAAAAGGCGCTGGGTTGGAACAGGTTCCGCCGAAAGATAGACATCCCCCAGTATTGCCCTTTCTCGCCTCTGTTTTAGGGGAGGCTAAAATAGACTACAGAAAAAAAAGGGGTACCCTTATTCTAACCTCTCTACTGGAGGACCTAGGAAACACAGCTCATTGCCAGGGTCACCTAAGTTTTCTTCTCGTTGGGTTTTGCACATTGCCGTTTGGCATGTTTAATTAAGAGAGCTGTCTTTTGGTGGGGTGAGGGAATCTTTGGAATTCGGAAGACTGCTTTAAAAGGGGGGGCGCCAAGACTCAAAGATGTTCACCCTGGTTTCTCCACTAGGAAGCCACCACCTTCAAGTTGCCTTCAATCAGATTCCAACGTCAGATTTTGAGGGGAGAGACAATTACCAGCACTGGAAACTATTTGCTGAGTCGAGGAAGGGCCGGCGGCTTATATTTGTTGCCTCTAGCGGAAACTGCTTGCGGCTTGCCGACCGCTCTGGTTTGCTTAAAGCTTAACAGAACACAAATGCTTTGCGGGGGCGGTGATTGGCCTTTCCCGATTGGGTCAAAACCAGCCCAAAAGGGACGGAGGCAGATCCCTGCCCGCCATGGAGCCCTTGTGAATGTAGCAGGGCCTCCGGAAGTTCATGGTCCAAACACGTGCCAACTTGCACATCCAGGCGCGGCTGGCGATTCCGACACTCCAACTAGGTTGCCAAAGCAGTGCCTCTGTTCAACGAGTTTGCCCATTGGTGTATATTTGTTCAGCTTGAACATCAAGTTCCACAGCGTCACGCAAGCTGTTGCGCATGGACTTCGCAAACCTAGTCCTAGCGTTTTGCGTGAACAGCACGTGTTATTCGCAACACAACTAGTCCCATTGGAAAGCTTCGCGTCCGGCTCGCTAAACCTGGAGGTTGGAGGACATCATGGATGCTCATATGCCATGGACATAAGCTTGTACGGCTATATTCCCCTTATATGAGTGGTATATAATCTCCATACCTCCAAAACTCATGCCTGAAAATTCCCTTACCCAGCTCTTGTTTTGGTGCAGTGGTGGCTGGCATCCAAACAAGATCGGATGGTTGATGCGTTGTTTTTGTTGTGTCAGTTCGCGCGTCCGATCTGAATTCAACTGAGCCCAAAGGATGCCCCAAAGTGAAGGTTCCCATGCCAAGTTTGATTGGTGACGCCTGCCTCGGCTCAAGGGCTCGCGCGAGTTGCGAGCCCGCAACGAGAACCCGTGTCATTTCCCCAGAAATAGTGGTGTCCTTTGATGTGTGTTTTGCCTAGCCCATCTTAAGCGAAGCCCGTTTTCTAATGAGGTTGCTCAATGGGTCAAAACTGAACGTCATGGCTCTTCAAGGATAAGACAAACAGAATGCGATGCCGAATTCTCTGAAGGAAACTCCCTGTCATGTACGGCTTGCTACAGACTGCAACATCATTTTGTCAAAGCCAAGTCACATGGTTCAAGTTCCCCCAATGTACAAAACAGATCACCACCAGTTAGGGCTGAAGGCCCCGGGTCTCTCTCCATGCAACATGTTTAAGAGAAGCTGTGACTAAAGTCGACTACAACAAAAAAACAAGGTACCAACTTATTCTAACCTCTCAAATCTGGAGGACCCAGAAGCTGTGTCGACCAGAACGCTGGTCCAACGTGGTAACCTTTGGCCACGCTTTGGCCGCCATGGGCGCGGAGAAGCGAAAGATGGCGGCGCTGGACTTGGGGGAGGCAAGCGCGCCGGTTCAAAATGACACGAGCATGAAGGCCCTTTACTGGGAAATTCTCCTATGTCCAGTTTGGGGATTGTCGCTTTTGCCAAGATTTGATTTCAGGCTTTTTTTCTGACTTGCTCAGTCTTTGGCCTTGATTTTCGGGAAGATCATGAGTCCGAGTACCCTGAGCAGGAGTTAAGAGGGGTCAAAGCACCTCGCAGGAAGCACTTGCACCTTTAGGACGAGCAGTGGTAATCAACGAGTCACGGCTCTGAGGTCGGTGCCATCTAGGCTTGTGTAGTATTTCAATTTGCCGTATCTGCAAAATGTTTGCAAATAATTGGTCCAACACCAGAGTTCCGCATTGGCTTTCGCGAACTCGCTTAGAGATCAGCCCAGAAAGACTTTCAACTGGACATGTCTAACTTCTGATCGACGCACCGTGGAAGATATGGCAATTGAAACAAACACACGCACACATGAATGCACATGTGGTATTGCTTATCTGACAAATGCACACGACATGTTTAAATCTAATGCCCCCTTTGACCTCTCAATGCGCGAGGTCATCTCGAAGAGACTCCGCTCTGCTCACAAGTCTTTGCTGGCTGCAGTGGTGGACCGTGAGGGCTTTTCCGCCCAGACAGGTGCGGAGTCGGCGGAAAAAATGGTGTGGGGAGGTACCCTCAATGAAAAATGAAAGGACTACCCCGATGTTTTCTTGGTGGAGTGGAGAAGGGACAGCGTGAAAAAAGAGCCACGCATGTTGCGACGAGCGGATCTATTTGCAGCCATTGGACCATCATTGGCTGCTTTCTGGATGGACCCCTTCAGAGCTGCAGGCGTTGTAACATGTTCTGCCCGATCGCCCAAGCGAGGTTGGCTCTTTCAAGCTGAATCACCCGATCCTCGTGAAGGACAACCCTCCTCCCCCCCCACCAACAAAATTTTCCGATGTTCAGTTTACAATTTCTCCGACGAAGCAAGGCCAGTACTAATTCTGGTTGCTCACATGTTGTCTTTGCTTGGTCATGTCTGGGGGAAAACAATATTTGACTCGATTAGGAAGGACACATCGAACAGCACAGGTTCGACGTCTGCCCTTTTTATCTAAAGGTTGTGTTGAGATGCAGAAACAAGCGCTGGATCCACCCTAAACGAATGCTATAAGAGGAAGCAATCCAGACTTGGATTTAGCACACAGTCACCTGTTCAATCGAGCTAAAACTTGATGCGGGTTCCTTGTAGTTACTTGCCCAGATGCTTTAATCGGGCATTCGAACATGAAACCATGCGGAATCGACCAGCTAGTGCTGGCGGAATCGAAGCGAGCCGAAGGTTTCTTGACCGAAGAAATGGGTATCTCGGTGGCTTCTTTGGGGTTGGTTTTCAATTTCTGGAGCGCTCGATTTGAAAACGTACATATTAGACCCTTGGCCGCCTTGTCAACACGAAGCAGCACCATTTGTGCATGGTGGCGTGTTGGTTCACCCTTTAACCTCCCAATCTTAGAGCAATGACAGAGTCTTTACCAAGAAGCAACTCTCCTGACATAGAAGGGGGTCGGTTTCACCAACTCAGCTTCATGAGCACTGGTATGCTCAAAGTCGCAATCTGATGCAGGCTCAGGGCTTCCATTTCTTTTCTTATGGAGCCATCATTTGAAGATCAAAATGGCACTGGCTGGCCAGCCACCATAGTGGTTTGCCTGGGCTCCGCTGAGAGCCATACTCGAGCACATGCCGACAGCGGGGGACCCTCAAAATGGCTGGCTTCCCTTTTTGGGATTTCCGTTTTAGACCAACCTTACAAGGAGCACTGACAACACATACAAAACTGCCAATTTTGTAGCGAGCTCACCTGGGGGTATAACGAGCTCACCATGATAAGGATCCTTTACTTGGGGCTTCCTTAATTCAGCTTCTGGAATTGCATAGACAAATAGATATATGTATATATGATTATATAAGTATCCATCTACTTGCCTGGATCTTTACACTTTCACTTTGCGGGAAATCAATGGGTTTCCACTACACTAACAACAGTTAGAATTCGGGCCTACAGAAACCAATAATATTTGTATATCCAGTGTTTTGGGTGGGAAGCACTAAAATGTGGATCATGGGGGGGCGACCATCGATACATACATATATATATATATATATGCATAGTAGAGCTGACACCTTCAACTAGAAGAGCGGAAAGGTAGGGCCGGGGGAAGTGGGGGGGTGACATACTTGTTTGCTCTCGGGTTGGATCTTTAGACTTTCACGTTTTGGGAAAACTCACAAAAGCTAGACTTTTTGCAGAGGGGTCTACAGCAACCAAGTATATCTAAATTTATATATACATAATCAAGCAATTGCAGATACCGAAGCAACAGCTCAAAAAAAGCTGGCCGCAGGGGACGTAGCGGTCACCGCCTGGCCCGGGCAAATGCATCGCCTCCTGCTGCTCCGCGCGGAGACTTCTCCGGCGGCAGAAGCGCCGGCGGAGAATTCCCTGGAGGACTCGTTCGGTGCCCGCGGAATTTCCGAGCTTTGGACCATTCCATTTGCTTGAGTTATTTTGTATTTTCCACTGTTGGTTTTGAAGGGAATCTATCACTACTGGAAATATTTGTGGTTTTTCCCAGGGGCCTTAAGCAAATGGTTCTGTTATACTCCTGGGTCCCCCAGAATTGTGCCCTTTCTCTCCCCTTTTTGGGTACCCTCTTCTAACCTCTCCACTCAAGGACCTAGTTCCGGGTGACGTCAGAGCTAAAACATGGGGCCAAAAAGCTAGAGCAGGCCAGCATTGACATGTGCCATCTCGTTTTTTCCACTCGCCACCTTCAACTATAGCTGACCTTTTGGGCTCCCATCATCTTGGCTAAGACATGGGGGTTGGGCGGTTTCTGGGGGGTGGTCAAAGTCGGAAAATGCGGTTGTTCCCCTTTAAGCCACCACTTGCGGTGACTTTGACCATGGTACAAGTTCGAGGCCAGTAAAGCATGGGAAAGCCAGTGGAAGGACTTGTTGTGGTAGTAACCGCCCAAGCTGTGTTCAACCAAACACTGGATAGTAGGCCTTGTTAGTGTTCAGTGTATGTCCACTTAACCCGCAAAAAAGCTAAACTTTTAGCGGGGGATCTGAGGACAAGCCAAAAAAATGGGCCAAGGGGTGTTTTTGGTCCATTTTTCCAACAATTTACATTTTTGCTTATTGTG